ATATATCTCCATAGGTGACCCTACCAGAGGCATTTAATCACATAGGAGGAGATTGCCCATCCTTCCTAGACAGAGCAACTGATGGATTCGAACTGCATGCCTTTGGGATTGCAGCACAGCTTCTTGTCACTAGGCCACCAGAGGTCCCTAAAAATTATATATTTTTTAATATATATCTCTCTAAAATGTACTAAAAAAAATAGAACAAGTAACCATAAAAATGAGTTGAAAATACTATTTCCTTTTATTTTTGTCAGTGGTTATCTTAATGGCTTTTGTAATGAGCAACAACAACAGCAAACTTTGTTTAAAAGATTGTTTTACATGGATACATCTGGCCAAAATAAAATTGATCCTTCAAAGTATTTGTTTTTTTCGGGAATCTTGTCTTCATCTCCTCTTCCTATCCTTAGTTGTTCTAGTCTTTCACCTTTTAAAGTTTTGTTCCCTTCCTATGCTGCCAGCAATAACAATAGCTTCTCTTTCTAACAGAAATAGAGCCTTCTCTTAGTGCTGCGTTATCTCTCTGACTGCTACCTGTCTTCCTTCTCTGGCATCACTTACAAACTCTTCAAGGACAGCCTTTCTCTAATGTTCTTAGAATCACCTCTGAATGTCACATTTACTTCAGTCACCTACTGAAATGCTTTTAGTGCCTTTAATGCTTTGTTGCTTTTATTTTTACTTGGACATAATGCTACAGCAGTACTTTGCTCCCTTTTTTTGGTACTTTATTTACTTGTGTGTGCATCAGGGCATTGTGGATTCCACAAGAGCTGACTGTTCAGATAATCCAGACAAATTCTTTTCTTTCAAACTTTTTATTTTTACATTTCAGATGGAAATCCTTCTGAAATGGTAAAATACTTAAGAATCTGTTGTGCTTCTTAAACAGTGTATGCTGATTATAATTGCTTAATCTTTTCTTGATATCAACTCTGTACCTCTTAGTAATTCACAGTGTCTTATACTGTAATATAAGAAAAATTTAAGGGGCTGTTGAGTATATAGGGTTTCCTGCTTCTACTCAGAATGTCTCTAGATTCCTCTGCTTTTCTAGTGCTGTGTTTGGGTGTTTCATTAATTAAAGTACACATATGCATGATAACAAATCACTAATATGGCAAAATACATAAAATAAAAACTAAGTCTTCCTTTTCCCATATCCTCAGTCAGTCCTGGCCTTGAATGGTTACCAGTTAATTGTGCATAAAATATAAACACGCACACATAAATATTGTTTTACACTTTTTACATAAATGAAACTGTATCATTACAACTGTCCTACACTTCCTTTTCTTTGTTAAATGCATATTAGACTTCTTTGTAATTTTATATAATCCATCCATCAACTTGCAATTGATTCTAGCTCATGACAATGTTCTATCAGGTTTCCAAGGTTGTGAGTCTTTGTAGGAGGAGACTGCCTGTCTTTCTTCCACAGAAGAAAGATTTGTTGGATTTTAACTACTGACAAACACATAACATAATGTATTACACCACCAAAATTCCTTCACATGATGGCTGCTCCTTAATCAAATTTAATGTGTGCTGAGGAATCCTGGGTTGGTTTAAATGGTTAAGTATTCGGCTTCCAGCTGAAGAGGGGTTCTGGTCTGTAGACGATTGTGCTGCAAACCCAAAGGCATCTCTGGTGTTTTCATTTTGTTTTGTTTCTTTTTCTATTAGTTTATTTACAGAATTTGAATACATTGTTTTCAAGAACAAATTCAATTTCCCTCATCCCCCGTCATCCATCAAATTGTACAACCCCATGATTAATGCCCGCCTCCTCCTGCACATCCTCATCCCTCTGCTTCCAACCTCTCCCATCCCTTTTGGATCCTTACACTCATTCTACAATAATGGTTTTATACAAAATTTTCCTTGTGGGATTGAGTTCACTCACCAAAATGCTCTCCAGTCCCTCCCAAATTAGGTAATCATTTACAAAATCTTTGCTGCTGCGTAGTATTCCATTGTGTGAATGTACCATAATTTCTCAGTCCATTCATTTGTGGTTGGACATTTGGGCTATTTCCATGCTCTTGCAATGGTGAATAATGCTGCTGTGAACATTGGTGTATAAATTTCAGTTTGGGCCTCCGTTCTCGTTTTCTCAGCTTATATTCCAAGTAGTAGAATAACTGGGTCACATGGAATTTTTATATTCAGCTTTTTGAGAACGTGAAAAACTGCCTTCCAGAATGGTTGTACCATTTTACAATCCCACCAGCAATATATAAGAGTTCCTTTCTCACCACATCCTCTCCAACATTTATTACTTGCTGCCCTCGCATTTCTCTTATTGACAGTGATTTGGAGTATTTCTTCATGTGTCTGTTTGCCATTTGAATATCTTCCTCTGTGAAAATTCTTTCCATGTCTTTTGTCCATTTTGTAATTGGGTTATCAGTCGTCTTTTTGTGGAGGCCCAGGAATATTCCATAAACTTTCATTATGAGACTGTTGTCTGAGGTTAACAAATGTTTGTTCCTAGTCAGTAGGTTTCCTTTTCACTCTCTTGGAAAATGATTTTGATGTACACATGGATTTATTCTTTAGAAGGTCCCATGCATCAATTTTATTCTCTTCAGATTGTGCATTTCTGATAGTATTTGGCATTCTTTCTATTAGTGGCTCCTTGAGCAAGGTAGGTAGTCTCCTCCTGTGAGATGAACGGCCTCAGAAACCTGTTGGAGAGTCAGCTGTGGGTCAGTTCCTCCTTGAAGGCAGAAAGGTGGGGTTTTTTTGAGACTATCTGAAAGAGTGACAGTTTCACACCACCTAGATGTCCCTCAAAAGATAGGGTTGGCCATCTGCTTCTGAAAATGCATGACCGTGAAGTCCCTTTGGAGCAGTTCTGCTCTGCCCATGTGGGGTTGCTATGAGATGGAAAATAACAGCAGCATGCTTCGAATGCTTACTCTTTGACTAGCCATTGCTCTAACCTGGTCTTAATGTTTTTACGTGTTTTACCAGCTGCCTGGTGATATATTACAGAGATGCTTTAAAAATTATTTAACTACCAGCTGGCTGGTGATATATTACATGTTGTTGTTATGTACCATCGAGTCGTTTGCGATTCATAGCGACCCTATGTACAACAGCCCTAAACCCTGCTCTATCCTGTGCCAATCGCACTGTCTCCGACACTCCCATCCCGATTATCCCAGTCACTGAATCAATCCACCTCATAGAGGGCCTTCCCCTCCTGCGCTGTCCCTCTGCTCTACCCAGCATGATGTTCCTCTCCAAAGACCTGTCTCTCCTTACAACATGTCCAAAGTATGTCAGACAAAGCCCCAGAATCTTTGCCTCCAAGGAGTAGCCTGGTTTAACCCTCTCCAGGATGAATCTGTTTGTTTTCTTGGCAGTCCAGGGTACAGTCAATACTCTTCTCCAGCACCACAGCTCAAAGGCGTCATTTCTCCTTCTGTCCTCCCTAGTCATTGTCCAGCTCTCTGACGTATAACAAGTGATTGCAAAGACCATGGCCTGTATCAGGCGCACCTTCGTCTCCAAAGAGACACCATTGCTCTTGAGTACTTTAGAGAGGTCCCTAACAGCAGACTTTCCCATCGCAATACATGTTTTTTGATTTCCTGGCTGCTGGTGCCAAGAGTGTTGACTGTGGAGCCGAGCAAACTGAAGCTGTGAACAATCTCAATCTCTTTGCCATCCAGCCTGATGTTACCAATTGGTTCAGTGGTGAGAATCTTTGTCTTCTTGACATTAGGTGCTTTAAAAATTATCAACTAGTCTCTAACTAATGACTAAATAATTGTTCCTCAGTTTTCACTACTAAATAATACTGCAGTGAACATCGATGTGCATACTCTTTGTGCTCCCCAAGTCAGACTGCAAGTTCACTTCCTAGTAATAGAACTTTGAGAGTCAAAGGATAAATCTTTGAAATGATAATAGATATTGGCATGTATCAGTTTCTGTAATTTGGGAAATAGGAAGCTCCTGAGGAAAAGGTCTGACATTTGTATTAACATCAACTGTATTTTAGAGTTTAGAGACTTGTGTACTGTTTTTTACAGCTTTAGATCTCAATTGAGAAAAATCTCAGGATAAATTATACCTTAATAATCTTTATATATCATATAGTCCATCCATTTAATATAATTTAGTGGTTTTTCATATATTCTGAATTTACAGTAGTCCCCATAGTTAAAATTAGAACATTTCTGTCACCTGAAAAGAAGCTCTGTACCCGTTTTCAGGGAGCTCTGGTGGTAAGAAGTTGTGCTAAAAGTCTGAAAGGCATACAGTTTGAATCTACCAGCTGCCCCACAGGAGATGGATGGTAGTTTCTTCTTGTGCCATTTACCAGCTCTGAAAACTCACTGGAGGATCAACTATGAGTTAGTTCTGACTTGAGAGCACGTAACACCCTGCCCCCATCTCCCCCACTTGTCAGTCTTACTTCATTCCTTCCAAGCCCCACAGTCCTGTTCTTGTTGGTTCATAGAGTTTGTTTTTGCTGGTTCTGACTCATTGTTACCTTGTGCACAACAGAATGAAATGCTGCCTGTCCTGCATGTGGGAGCCCATTGCAGCAGTCAAATTGTTAATCTAGCTCATTGAAGGTCTTCCTCTTTTTTGCTAACTTTTTATTTTCCTCATAACACCTCCAATATGTACAGTGAAGTCTCATCATCCTCACTTCCAAGGACCATTTTAGCTGTGCTTTTGCTAATCTACTTTCTAACTTTATAGATTTCTCTATTTTAGACATTTTGTATAAATGAAATGGTGTAGGTCTTTTATGACTTACAAATTATGGTTCTCCATACAAATTTATGTCAATTTGTTTCTTTCAATGTGAGAGATAACTTTAATGAAATAATGGCAATCTCCCATTCTAGTATACTTAAGTGCCCTAATGTAAGTAGGGAGCTTTGATGGCCTAGTGGTAAAAAGCTCCACTGCAATCTTGAAAGTATGTTGTTCGAAACCACCAGATGTTCCGTGGAAGAAGGATGGGCAGTCTCCTCCCAGGTGATTAACTACCTTTGAAAACCTGCTGGTGAGTCAGCTGTGGGTCGGTTCTGACGCGGGGTACTCAACAAACAAAACAATGCATGTAGTTGTCTTCTGGTTAATGCAAGTTCTCCCACCTTAGCCTACCGACTGTGGAAAAACCTTTGTTATGACCCCTCTTCGCAACACACAGGGAGCTCTTGGTGGCATTTTCATAGGAAGTTGTGCTGCTAACCCAAAGCCTGTACTTCTCTGGTGGTTTAAATCTGTCATTCATTTCATAAGTATATTGAGATCAACAGACTGGAAAATGCTGACCAGCATAAGTGTTAATCTTAGCACAACTTCTTTAAAGAATGATGATTTAAAAAAAAAATTCTGAATCTTTTTAAGCAAAAAAGATTTTCAAAATGTATTTTGAAAATATCTTTTGCATTTGCTTCATTTCAGATTGGAAGAGTGGGAAGATTGGGGCAGAGAGGAACAGCACTTACTTTCATCAATAACAACTCAAAAAGGCTTTTCTGGGATATTGCAAAAAGGGTAAAGCCCACAGGAAGCATTCTTCCCCCACAGCTACTGAATTCTCCTTACCTTCATGACCAGAAGAGAAAGGAACAGCAGAAAGCTAAACAGACACAGAACAGTCTGGTTACAGGAGCTAATCTTATGGACATTATTAGAAAACATGATAAAAGTAACTCACAGAAATGATTTCTTGTGTCTACTCTGGATAATTGATTTTGTATTGCTAGTGAAGTCTCTGTATATTACTATAATTGTATGACATTTGAACAAATGGGACATGAACCTCAATGAAAAAACTTTTAAGGTATGATTTGTAAAATTTTAATAATATAAAACTTTTATAGCAGAGTTGTATTTATTGCCTTTCTTAATTCCCATAAATTAAGAAAATTAGTTGCCAAATGAATTTTTTTAATATGTCTTTTTTGAAAAAAAAAAATTTATTTTCTGTAATCTTTTCTTAGACCTACTCTCAGAACCAGAAACCTGTCCAGCAAGGAGTCTGCCCCAGAGTGCTGGTGGCTTTCTTGTTTAGTATCCCTTTGGCATTTGGATTATTAGTGAATGAAAGTAAATGATAGAAATGAGAAGAAATTGTCAGAACTACTTTTAAAAGATAGATAGTTAGATAGATAGATAGATAGATAGATAGATAGATAGATAGATAGATAGATAGGAAATAACTCATGTTCATTATTGGTGGTTTTTCTTTTTAAGATTTTTTCAAAATTTTTTAAAATTAATATTAACGAACATTTACAGAAATTTTGGATTTCCCTACATTCATTGTTGAATTTTTCTCCCTTTCCACCCCTCCCTCCCAGTTTTTTTTTTTACTTTATGTGTGTCTATCGTCAAATCATATCTGACTGGTACAGGAGGAGATTGTCCCTCCTTCTCCAGCAGAGCATCTGGTGGATTTGAACTGTGTTATCTCTGGGATTGCAGTGCAGCTTCCTGCTAGTAGGTCACCAGAGCTCCCCCAATTCTTGGTGATTTTTCTTTCAACTCTGTTAGCAGTGTGTCTGTGTGTCTGTCTGTGTGTGTGTGTGTCTGTGTGTGTGTGTGTGTGTGTGTGTAAAACACAGTGGATTGATACAGTGACTGTAGCGGTGGGCTCGAGCATGTCTTGTATTGTGAGGATAGCGTAGGATGGGGTAAAGGTTAAATCTGTTATTCATAGAATTGCTATGAGTCATAGAGTGAACTCTGTTGGCCTAGTGGATAGAAAGTTATGCTACCAAGCCAAAGATGGGTGATTTTTATCTGCGGCCCTCAGGCCTGGTTTTAATAGTTTTCAGTCAAACATTATTCTAAGTGGTATAACACTGGTCTGTACAGAGGTGACTCGTGGTTGCTGTGATGCTAAGCAGTGTGACACTGATGTGTCAAATGTGATAATGGTTACTTAGGTAGACAGTCTTTGGTGGAGCTCCCAGATTAAAACAGGCTTGGAAGCAGGAGTGGCATCCACTTCCAAAATAGCTTGCCTCTAGAAACTCTATGAACTTAGAGAAACAATGAAAGTTATATAAGTGTTCAGATCTTTCGTTCATAGGGTCGCTATGAGTCGTCTACAATTTAACGGTACTTAACAACAAGATAAATATATGTTACTGTGTGCTGTTGAGTTGGAACCAACCCATAGGTAAACCCTTCAGTAGGTTTTCAGAAGCAGTGAATCGCATGGGAGGAGATTGCCCATCCTTCTTGTGTGGAACTCTGATGGCTTAGTGGTAAGGAGTTGTACTGTCAACACAGAGGTTTGAGGATCAAATTCACTAGCTGCTCCATGAGAGAAAGATGGACAATCAATTCCCATGTAATTCGTTGCCTGAGACAACCGAGTGGAGGTCAGTTATGAGTCAATTTCAACTTGATGGTATAAACTACCCCCCCCCACATATTCATTGCTATAGGCTGCTTATTAAAATAAAGTCAAATTATGTTGCTTTGCTATTCAAGTTTTATGTTAATATGACTTTGCTAATTCAATTTATCATTTTAAATACTGAAAGAACAGATATTTTGCTTTGATATATCTGTATTTTTAGTTCTTTGAAAACTCTTCATACCTTATTAGTTGAGAAATTTAAATAATCCACTAATTCTCATACTTAAGCTTTATAGTCTGAGCATCCTTTCCAAGGGAATGTGGAAGAAGCTTAGCAAAGCAGAAACCATAGCCTTTGTGTTTCCTAGTGTTTTCTCTACCCAGAGAAGATAATCAGTTTAGAGGTTTTCCAATGAGCATCTCTTGGGACTCTGAGTTCTTATTTTTCTTCTCTTTATTCCTGTTGGCATCCTGTTGAGTGACAAGTATATTTAGTTTCAAGAGAGCAAGGACAAGGCAGCTAGTTAAGATTGCAGAACGCTGTAGCAGAGGTCCACAGGGAGGCTGCAGGCTCTGGTAGCAGCTAAGGAAGAGGAGCTAGGCCAGAGCTGGAGCATTTGTATGGGATGAGCAGGAGGGCTTTTAACTAGCTCTCTTCTCTCACTCTAACCTGATCCATTTAACCATAGTTGGATTTTTGTTTATTATCCGGATGTCAGATGAGACTCTGAATATTGCATGAGAGTGCCGAGAAGCCAAAGCTAAAGGAAGAAACCAAGAAATCAAAGAGCTTAACAGAAAATTTCAAAAGGCAGCCCGGGACGATAAAGCAAGATACTATAATGAAAT